AACTTGGAACTTTGTAAAGTTATCTAAGCTTTTCTTGAGGTACTGTTTTTGCATGTAGGGTATTGGTTTCCCATTTCTCAGTTTTAAAGAAATTTTCGTAAAGGAGTATCTCATCTTATAACACCTGAGCATATTTATTTATCTGATTATATCATTAAACACTTGAATCATGTACAAGCGTTATGCACTTAACAATAAACTTCAGAGGTAGGTTTTTTATTAGAGGTGAACTCTCATGTGACTCAATTTTGACAAACCACCTTCTAATGTTTTGGCCTTGACATAAGTATAATGTCTTGACTTGAATATAAGGTCTGTACACTGATTCTTGGCATGAAAAGGAAGGAAAGAGAAGACAATTCATGAAGACCGTAAAAACTGTCATCGAACGTAGAAACTTTGTGAAGAAGACATAGGAGCAAGTGACTGTCTACACATTAGCAACTGATGATCGAAAATGGGAAATGTGCAAACAAAAAGTTTCAAAATGAGCTCCTCATGTTCTTCATGCACCACGAACAAAAATCCAACAAAAACATTTCAATTGTTCATATATCATCACAGCTGAAAGGCCCAGAACAGCATGAAATTCACAGATCTAGGTAACATAAAGAAGATGAAAAGAATGAAAGTGATGCAGCAAATCTTCTAATTTAGAATTGCAGCAAATCTGCATTCCTTCCCAAGAAATATTCATTTCTCAAGTGCACATCTCTTGTCAAAATATATTAAAATGAAATGAAGAATAAAACAAAGTGAATCACAACTCAAAATGGTAGCCATTTCATACTAACGATCGAACTTGTTAAAAACTAAATGAGGAATATATAGATCACATAAACTTCACAGGAGGAAACAAAACATGTAAAATAAATTAAAAATACAATCCTCCATTCCGAGCTAACATGGATACCAATCAAAATGTGCTTTATAGGAAGGAAGACCTACAAACTATCTAGCTAGAGAACACCATATATTAAAGATTGCGAGTAACTACAAACATCTATATTTGGTACCATCACACTACAAAAACCTAGAAAATTGCAACTTGGAATAGTTCTGCACTCATAGCATGCTATTCTTTTATAGATTAAAAATCAAACAGAACAGCTTAAGGGTGGGACAAATTATGTTGCTAGATATTGTATCAAAGTACAGAATATGGATAGATCATAAACCCTGGCAACTATATTTTCACAACTCCAGCTAAGGAAAATACTCATTAAGAGATATCCTACCAAATAGACGATTACAATATGCTCATTTATTTCTAGAACCCTGAACGACGTGTGATCATGCTGATGCCTAACAGTAAAAAGTAAACATAATGACACATCTAGGATCAAGCTTCTCAAACATCAGACAAAGATTCATTTGTACAATAAAAAGTAAAAATAAGAAATGAAAACTCAATTCTTTGACCGACACACGTAACATGGGCGCACATGCTCTTATTACAACAAAATAACTCATCCGACAGAATGTTGATGCATGGCAAGATCACACTTAGCGTAATAAATCTCACCAATTACAAAGCATAAAATTCTAGTAAGAACAGATACCTTCTACACACTTCACATCAAAATAACTGACCAAGCAGAACTGAACGCAAAAGTTCATGCAAAGAAATGTACGTAAATACTCATAAGAAACAGGCTATGGTATAAAATTCTTTTATTCAAATTGGATTCAAACTATCCACGTCCAACAGTCGGTAAATCTTTGCTATATCAGTCTCGAATTCTACACAAATGAGAAAAAAATACAACAATTACAATTGCAATACCACAGGAGACCAAGAGCTGTCTTTTGTCCATCTTCGATGCAGATCAAAACACCAAAGGCAATCAATGCCCACCACCCAAAAAAGAAAAAGAACCCTCTTCATCATGGGATCAGGATCACTCCTTATATGGCATCATCAAGATATACGAATGCAAGGTAACTAAGAATTTTAGAGGATAAACAAGATATGTCCAAAAAAAAAAAAGAACAATCAAAAGAATGTAATGAAATGAAACAAGAATAGGATACACGATCCTACCCCACAACATTTCAAGAAACCATATCACTGTGAGCTTTTCTTCCCGTTCACATAGTAACCTAAGTACCACTGAACGAATTTCTTCAAGCCCGTCTGCAAATCGGTTGAGGGCTTATACCCGAGCTCCCTCTTGGCCAAGCTTATATTAGCATGCGTAAACTGCACATCACCATTCCTCGGCAGCTTCATGATCGACCTCTTGGCCTTCACCTTAAGCAGCTTCTCCAAAATGCTCACGAGGTTCGACACTGGCACAGGTGATGTGTTCCCCAGGTTGTAAACCCTTAATTGGGCCGGGCCCTTCTTCTTACCCCCGCTGCCCGTACTCTTCTCAGCTGTATCCAAAGCAGCCAAACAACCCTTGACAATGTCCTCAATGTAGGTAAAGTCTCTAGCCACAGTGCCATGATTAGCTGCCTCAAAGATGGGAATTGACTTCCCCTTGAGTATATCCTTTGTAAAGAAGAAGTAGGCCATGTCGGGCCTTCCCCAAGGCCCGTACACGGTGAAGAACCTCAATCCAGTTAACGAAAGCCCGTAAATGTGATTGTATGTGTGTGCAATCTCCTCACCGGCCTTCTTGGTGGCAGCATACAGGCTGGCGGGCTGGTCTGTTCTGTCCTTTTCGGAGAATGGGACCTTTGTATTGAGCCCGTAGACTGAGCTGCTCGAGGCCCACACGATCGCGGGCTGAGGGTTGGCGCTCTTGCAAACCTCGAGGAGGCTGACGAGGCCCGCTATGTTGCTGTGGACGTACGAGCTAGGGTTTTCCATGGCGTAGCGCACGCCGGCCTGAGCGGCCAGATGCATGACGTGAGTGAATTTGACGATGTCGAAAAGCTTGGTCAGTAAATCGGAATCATTAATGTCGCCCTCGACGATGTAAATCCCGCTGCGGTCGAGCAGGGCCTGCCGGTCCCTTTTCAGGGAGGGGTCGTAGTAGTCGTTGAAATTGTCGAGGCCCACGACGCCGTCTCCGCGGCGGCGGAGGGCGGCGGAGACGTGGGTGCCGACGAAGCCTGCGGCGCCGGTGACGAGGACGGAGATCCCGTTTCCGGACCGGACGCGGGCGGAGTCTCGGACGCGCTTCTCGAACTTGGGGCCGGCGTAGATGCTGGTGCGGAGGGATCTTCTGGAGAGATCTGAGGGAGATGAGGAGGAGGAGGACGGCGATTTGAAGAAGAAGACGAAGATCAAGCCGAGGAACATCAAGGACCAGAATGTGAGCTTGGCTAGGGATGAATGCGGCCTTAGCCGATTGTATGCTGATTTTTCCATCTTGAATTTGCCCTGGGTTGAAGGGCCGCTATCAATGTGCTTCATTTGGAACATCAATCCAGCAAAAAGAAATTCTGCAGATTACAGAAAAATGGTATCTTTTTTTGTTTTCCAATCTGGATAGTTATACCTTTGATTTTCCTTATTTAATTTTTTTGGATTGGCTTTTGCTTTTGGGATGAATGGAGAATGAGATTTTGGGGGAAAGAAAGGGAAATGGGGGCCTGACAATTGGAGAGTTGCAGAAAGGGACCTTATTTTGATGTGGGAATCTTGAGGTTTCTTGTTGAGGCTGCTGGCATTGTTTTTTATCCCTTTTATGTTTAGGGGCTCTTTTCTCTTCTCTTCTTTTCTTTTCTGTTCTTTTTCTTTCCTTTCCTTTCTTCTCGTTTCTTTTTTGGCTTTTGTTTTGATAGAGGGAGAGGATTATAAAATAAAAGGATATGGGATTTTGATAATGACAAAAGAAATACAATGTGGGGACTTCTTGTGGTAGGAGAAATGAAAAGATTATAGGAGGGAGAGGAAATGGATTTGAAAGAAAATTAATGATAATGGATTTTGGTAAGCATGGAGGAATAATGATGATGGATGATGGAAGGTCAAATGGAGCTGTAATTAGTGATTTTATGTAAATGTTTGTTTTAGTAGATCTTGCTTAGTTTCTTCTAGAACATTAGTTTCATTTAATTATGGGACAGTTGTTGAATGGACTGACGTCAAAGTTTCATAGCTAGCAACTTTAGGGTTCAACCTATGTGAATATAAATCCTAATTTTATCGAGTTTTGGATAAAGTAGTGTTGATTTTCACCAAATATTTTAAAACAAATCATTTAAATGTAAATCTTGAATATAAAGTATATATAACATTTACTTTGAATAGATATAAAGAATATAAATTAATTTGTATTATATTAGAATTAGAAAACTCAAATTTTATAAAGTAATATTCATATAGATCAAATGTTACACATTATAACCAATAGGGAGTGGCACAGTTACCATTTAAAATTTTTATAAAAATAATAATAAAGTAGGGAAAAATAATACTACTACATTTTTTTTATAAAGATAATAGTAAAATTGATAAATAACATAAGTAGACCATCAAATAATTCACAAATGGAGCCCCATAAACTCAGTCCGCCTTGACGTGGATGTTAGAGCATCCACAATGCTTTGGGTCTCTTTTTGTATATGTGTCAAATAAATATACTTAAGTTTATAATGATATGGACAACCCAAGCTAAAAAATCTAAAATCTATCCAATATAAAAAAAAAGTATTAGGTCTAGAATACCTAACAACCAATAAAAATATAATAATAGTAAATGATTGCTATTGTAAGGTTCACACTTGAGTCCAAAATACTCAAGAATGGACTTAGTCTTTTTTTTTTATTGCCACATAAGCTAGACTAGGTCTACTTTTAATTGAATTGTGAAATACTTTTTTATAGACTAAGTCTATTTCCTACATGGCATGTAACTCTTTTTAAAGAGATTCAAAGCATTGTGGGTGCTCTTAGTGTCAACAAGAAAGCTGGTCGGTTTGGTATAGATGGAACTACTTGTGATAATCAAGGTAGAGTTATGTGCATGTTTTATTTAGTTAATGGTGTATGGTGTATTCTTATACACTTAATTTAATTGCA